ACCTCCAGGCGGCCTTACGCAAGATGAAGCGTGGCACTGCACCAGGGCGTGACCAGGTTACGGTCAAACTGTTGGCCAATCTTCCCGACGCAGCCTACGCCACGCTCCTCAAATACATCAATAGCATTTGGGACGGAGAAACTCCTCTCCCTCTTGAATGGAAATCAGCTCTCGTGACCTTCATCCCGAAGGCAGGTAAACCTATTGACGTGGAGAACCTTCGCCCCATCTCCCTCACGTCTTGTGTCGGCAAGCTGATGGAAACGATGGTGCGCGACAGACTCTCCGAGTTTCTAGAAACACAGCACACTTTTGCGGACACCATGTTTGGATTCCGCCCTCAGAAGTCAGCCCAGGATATACTTCTACAGCTCCACCATGACATATTAGATCCTGTTGAATGCCCCCACAATGACAAGGTAGTCCTGGCCTTGGATCTTAAAGGAGCATTCGACAACGTGAAGCATGAGGTAATCCTTGACCACCTCAGTCAGACCAACTGTGGTTATAAAACATTCAATTATGTTAGACAGTTTCTTACAGACCGTCGAGCCTACATACGCATACAAGATGAGGAACATGGGCCTTACGTCATCGGCTCGAGGGGAACTCCTCAAGGCGCGGTCCTCTCTCCTCTCCTATTTAATATAGCCATGCTTCATCTTCCCCCCAAATTGGCTTCTTTACCAGGGATACATCACGCTCTTTACGCGGATGATATCACGATCTGGGCCACGCAAGGTAACCTGGGTCACATGGAGTCATGCCTGCAAGCAGCAGCGACTGTAGTCGACGACTACGCAACCTACTGCGGACTCCAGTGTGCCCCGGCTAAGTCAGAATTTGTGCACGTACGTCCCTCCCCTCAGGACACAACTCAGCTCCATATCAGTCTTCCCTCGGGACCGATCCGTGAGGTCAAGGAGATCCGCGTCCTTGGCCTCTTCATACACCACCAACGCAAGGCCGACACCACAATAGCCAAACTTCGCACGGTGGGAGACCAGGTGGGCCGTATGGTCCGCCGGGTCTCCAACAAGCGGGGCGGATTACGAAGCAGGGATGCAATGCGGCTTGCCCATGCTTTCGTAACGAGTAGAATACTCTACTCGACTCCCTACTTGCACCTACGCAAACACGAGGATGATCAACTCGAGGTCATCCACCGTAAAGTTATCAAGCGGGCTCTCGACCTCCCTATCACCACGTCCAACCAGAGACTTCTGGCCCTAGGCGTGGTGAATACCTACCGGGAACTTCGAGAAGCCCACCTCGTTAACCAATACACGCGCCTTGCACAGACCCATTCCGGTCGCCGCCTCTTGGACCGAATACACATCAAACACGATTACTATATTGAGGAAAGGGTGAGAGTGCCAGAACCTTGGAGACGCGCCCTCCGGGTCCGACCCCTTCCCCGCAACATGTCCAAAGAAAACCACAGTGGTCGCCGCCAGGCGCGCGCGGAAGCGTTGCAGCGACACTTTGGTCAAGAGGAACACGTGTGCTACGTGGACGTTGCCGGCCCGCACCATGGGGGGTGGTATACTGCCGCAGTCATACACAACGCAAACACCGTAAACGGGCTCACTTTCAAAGCCTACAGCGCAACACACGCGGAGGAGGTTGCCATCGCTCTGGCTCTCACCTATCCCTCTTCTAAACATATCATCACCGACTCACGAGGGGCCTGTCGGAACTATCAGCTAGGGTGGGCTTCACCGCTTGCTCAGCGCATACTGGAACCTAGCTGCCGATACGTTAATCCAACTCCGCGAAATCTGGTTTGGGCACCCGGTCACCAAGGACTCAGGGGTAACGAACAGGCCGATCAGGCCGCCCGCGCACTCTCTTCCCGGGCTATCTCCCCGTCTTTGGAAGCCTACTCGCAATCAGACAATTCGGCCCTTTCATTCAAAGATATTACCAATTACTACAAGGAGGAGCACCGGCGCTATCCAGACCCTTGTAAGGGACTGCATCGCGCTGACGAGCGCCTCCTTTTAAAACTGTTTACCAATACTGTACTGTGCCCGGCGGTGCTAAAACATTTCAATTCATCCTTTGATGGCACGTGCCAGTTCTGTGGTGAGGTGGCTGACACCTTTCACATCGTCTGGGCGTGCCAGTCTAATCCATCTATCCCCCCCAACCCCAATCCCACGAGAGAGGACTGGGAGGCGGCCCTGCTCGGCTGTCAAGACCTGAAGGCCCAAGAGGCTCTGGTTCAACGTGCGCGGGCGGCGTTGCTTGCCAATGGAGCCCCGGAATAGGGGTTCCACCTAGTGCTGTGAAGGTAGGAGGCCAATAAGGCCCCAACCCAATCACCTCTCTGAAACCATTTAATGGTTATTAAATGTTTTCACCACCCACCACCACCCTGCTAGCCGGAGGATGAAACGTCGTGTCGCCACGACGCCGTAAGCCGTTCCAGAGAGGACAACAAAGACAGCATCTTCCTTGGAAGAAACCACGGCCGCCGCCACAAATTGCCCTGCTAATTGAGTGGACAGATCGGCGGACCGTTTGATGTATGCTGTCAGGAGCTTGGGACCCCTCGACCAGCGGCACACATAGAACGAGAAAGAGCCCTCTGGCGCCACCTTGCAGTGCAGTAATCACGACTCAATATTGGATGTTCACGCGGGCCGTGCATGCTCGTACCCCTCGCCTGCTGTGTGTGTGTGATTGGTGTTCCACTCAAGAAGGAGGAGCCCGACAGGGCTTATAACGACGCCACGGAGTGCAGGACGTGGCTCTGAACCATGTAACGGTTCAACCACCACGCTCGAGGTTTGTGAACGCCTAACCTCATGCTGTAAATAATTGTAAATAGTTACATAAATCTGTTTGTTTTTTTCGTATCCCCATCTTGTAAGCGCTCGTTTGCTCAACCCGAAGCTACACCACGCAACCACAAAAGACCGGGTAGACCCCGATCCACCACAACCGGTGATCAGCGCTGGGATCCGAAGCGACTACTAGTGAACAGCACCGGTCGGCAACAACCGGTAAACAGTGCTGGGATCCACAACAACTGGTTTGTAGTGGTGGGATACGACTCAGCACCGGGATCGCAACAACTGGTGGGCAGTGGTCGGATACGAAGCTACAAGTGACAACAGTCAGCACAAGGGAAGCAGCTGTCTCGAGACATGGATCACGTATGGGTGAGTGCTTGGCTTTTCCTTTAAGTGAACCACGTTCTAAAAGAGGGTTAAAATTTAGAACTGGTAGTTAACATTGCTGAAAGACTCAGTTTCGCCGTTTCGGAAAGTTATTTTGGAAGTAGCGAGCCCTCAGTACGATCACGGACTTACGGGAGCTGCAGAAGTCAGACTTGATGCTGTTGTGTGAGGAATTGGGGATCGATACAAAGGGTTTGGCACGAAAACCCATAATGATTCAAGTGATTAATGATTTGGGTTGGGGGCGGATGATGAGGAACTAAGCAAAGAATGGAACCTCATCATTGAAAGAAAGTTAAGAGCAGCTCAGATGGAAGGAAAGAGTGAAGACGAAAGAAAAGACCTCAAGATAGTTTTTCAAACAAGACTACGAGTTGAGTATGAGGTTGGGACCCCAGCGAGGAGTACTTCTCGAAAATGAGGCAGAGTTCGAGATGTCTAGGTACATGCAGCCATATGAGGTATCATGGGATATGGGCCTGTATCTTAGACTGAACGAAAGTGTAGGCAACTGTCGTGTGAGCGAGACACGTGGTCTCAGAAGCTACTCACGGTTCTACCCTGCGAGGCAGTGGATCTTGTTGCGCGACTCAGTGAGCAGCACGCGAATAACTACGAAGTTGTTAAAGCAGAGCTAATCAGGAGATTCGGAACTTCTGTTAGCAAAAAGAGACTCAGACCGGAGTTTGAAAGCGAGGCGCGTCACAAAGCGCCGGAAGTTGAGGTGCGTCATGAAGCGCTTGAAACAGAGATCGCGCCAGTAAAGGGCCTGCGTATTCTAGAATCCATCAAGGTAGAGTATGCTGAGAACGAGGCCTTGGTGGGTCTGGAGGTAGTGACGATGTCCAAAGACGCTCTTTGCGTGGATGAGGAAGGTGCCAGCAGCCCTAACGGGCCCAGTAAGAAGCTGGAAACCTTTTTCGAGCCTCGAAAGAACGCTTCGATATCGTCAAATGTAGGCATGGTTAGTGGAGTGGCCGATGAGAGCAAGAACGCCACACTTTAGCAGTGTAGCCATACCGTCGAGGTGGTTTGCAAGCATCGCAAAAAAAGGGAAGAAGCGGAAGCATTCGGCTCTGCGTAAGCCTTGGGCAGATCCCTCTCCATCTCGAGAAAGACGAAAGGCGAGGCCGTTAATCCGTTTCAAGAAACGTCAATGGTGGCGTTCATGGAGGCACAAGTGGCGAGCCAGGTGTAGAGGGGGAAAACGAGGTACGCCACCCCAACGCAGCACCCGGTTCAGTTCGACAACTTCGGGAAAGCGGCCTTTGCCGAAGGGTCAGAGCCGAAAGGGCAGAGTGGCTAAATACCGTGTAGGGGAGAACACAAAAGAAAAATGGCACAGGCTTCCCCCCTGCTTCTGGCACCCCTTTCACATTACCGAAAAAAGCCGGCCGAAGTGCAGAATGAGGCGTGACGGCAGGACACAGCCTAACGTTCGTGTGTTTAGTAGCCTCAGGCGTGCTGGAAAACCGCCGGGACCGCGACCCCATCGTGTGCGATTCAAGCGAATCTAGTTGAGAAAAGGGGGCGATCAGTTTGAGTATTTTTTTCGTACATGCGTGTTAAATAGGGTGCGACTGTTCTCACAACAAATCCGTGCAGGGCGGGGCCTCGCCGCGATGACGTAGCCACCATTTCCTTTTTTTTTTTCTGTCTCTCTCTATCTCTGTTTGACGGCGCGGTACGTGGTCGACGCGGTCGCTGTGGTGGCGTGCACTCCACGTGAGCGAGAAGTGTGCACTGTCTTGTTAAGTGACCGGAAAATCGGAACGCAACGATGAGCGAGCCTCCTGAACGACAGAATGTGATCGAAAAGTACCTCCAAGGATTACGTCATGACGACGGCTACTCTCATGGCTACCTGAAGTGAGACGAAGAGCTAAAGCTTTTTGAGAGGTCCCTGGCTGCCGTCAACGAGAGGTATGCTGTGCGGACATCAAGAGACCTGAGCAAGTCGTCTAAATGTGAGGATGTCTCGATTGCTTCTTAATGTATTGATCTGCGCGTAGATCTAGCATTGAAACACTCAGTAGTAATTTAAACCAGCTAGGGACACGGCAGGACAGGCTTCTTCTCAGTTGCAGTTATTGATTTTCGCCTTTTTGAAGTTAGGGTTAGGTATCATTGTTTTCGTTACCGGTTCACAGTTCCCCTGGAACCGATTCATTTCGGTGTGAGTGAAGTATTGTTCGGATTACCGGGACATGACCCGATCTTCAGAGATTCTATAAACGCTATTGGAGCTGTAATTGGCGCCTTGTCTGTGGCTGCGTGTTTCTTTGGTCCCCGTTGCTTAGCGCCCCAAATTATTTAGTTGTAACTGAATTGTATTTTTTTTGTTTTAGTCATGATTAGCACCGCGCTAGCAAGCTAATTGTGACACGGCCGTGCGTGCCATCCGTGGTCATCAAGGAAGTGTGAATTAGACGTCTAGAGCAAGACGGGCCTGATGTTGAACGCTGTATATGAGAAGCTGAAGGGTCAGGGTCGAGATTTTTTGCCCAATTATATTAAAATCCCAAGGCCCAACCAAACTGTAACGTGTTGGTGCTGCTTGTAAGTTATAACTTAAAAACCGCATAAAAAGTCTGGGTAATATTAATAATGATAATTATAATTATTATTAAGGTTGACGAAAGCCAGAATTCTTGCCAGAGGCAGCGCATCTTAAAGTTTTTTTGCTGCCAATACACAAAAACTAAAACAAGATTTGATATTTCTCTCTGCCATGCATAAAACTAGGTGCCTTCATTAAATCATTTTATTGTTTATTTTCAGCCAATGTCGTCTTCTCCATGATCCACTGCGGATCTCGAATCTCTCTGGACAATGTGCCGTTCCGAGTTGTCAAGGAAACCGTCAAAGTGTGCATATTTGGAACGGAGTACTACAAGAAAACTCGGGAGAAAAAAAAGAACAAATATGTTACATAGTGATGCACTTCCAAAAGTTTTAATCTCATGCACATATCCAGCAGTGTTCCAGTTCAAAGATTGTGTGTAGGCAGTGTAAAGGAGATTTACTTTAAGTTACTACAAGTTTACAGGAGACATAAATATTGTTAACTTCATTTACAGAGTTCAAGTACCCCTGACTGGCAGAAGGTGTACGAGAAGCGGGTGAACCTCCAAGGCACAAAGAAGGGGTGCGCAGCAACAATGAATTTGAAGTGGATTGAGTTGTACCCAGATTTCCAGGTATGTAATGTGCAATGACAAGTAAAAAATATTTCCAGATTAATTTCTGGGGACCTTTATCATGTCATTTATGATCGTGGAATCCGACACAACACAGTTGCTTGAAGATCATTATGGTTTCAAGCAGCGCAACAAGATGAGGGCAAAGTCAAGATGAAACAGAAGACAGTGCTCTATATTTCCATCATTGGCAGTATGTATACATGTGGGAAATAGCAAGATAAACAGAGTGTGAAAGATAAAATGAGCACAACGCATACAGTCTCGGCATCTAAGCCAAGACTGTATGTGTTTTGTGCTTTACGCTCTTAATTTGCTATTTCCCACATGTATACATACTGGCAATAGTGGAAATATACTTCCAGCTATTAGTTCAGCGCTGTCTTATGTCTCATCTTGACTTCGCCCTCATCTTGTCGCACTGTTTGAAACCATAAAATATGATGTGTACTTAACAGTGCCTGCTTTCTAGGTGGATGTGCCCCAGCCATGCGGCCAGACAAGAGAGGGTCGTCTGATAGCCGACAATGCCAAGGAGCTGCAGGAGGCACTTGACGCAGAGCAGCACACTGTGGCCAAAGAGACGCGGGTATATGTTAGGATTGCCAACTGCAGTTCCCATCAAAGCCATGGTTTCGAGTACACGGAAGCTTTCAGCCAAAGCATGGACAAGAACGTTGCTGAGCAAATTCAGATGTTGGCAAGAGAATGCATTACTTCTGTATCAGATGTGAAAAAGTGCCTTCACTATTATGTGCACGACGTACTTTTTGCGAACAAGGAGAAGCCTGATAGTAGCTGCAGGACCTTTTTCCCAACACATCGTGACATCAGCAACCAGATCCAAGCTGTGCTTAAGAAAGACCGCTTCAGCACAGTTGATCAAGAGAATGCTATAATCCTAATGGAAAAAATCGGGGGTGAGCAACCCGAATCCTCCGTTGTCTATCGGCCGTATGCAGCACGCAGCTTCGTGGGTAGCAGCAACTCGGACAACGTGGAAAAGGGCGTTGCCAGCGAGTGTGAAGACACGTCGCTGTTTTGCTTCCAAACAAAATTCATGAGGAGCATGCTTAAAAAGTACGGAGGCTCACTAGTTTGCCTGGACGCAACGCACAAGACGAGTGACTATGCCCTACCACTTTTCTTCCTTGTCGTGAAAACACCGTCGGGATACACACCAGCTGGTGTGTTTATCATACAGTTCGAGACGGCCCACTGTATCGCTGAGGCTTTAGACGTTTTCAAGCAGTGGTGTGACAACTGGTCCCCACAATACTGAAGGGTGGATTATAGCAAGGCAGAAATAAGTGCCATCAAGCAAGTGTTTCCAGAGAGTCAAATCTCCATCTGTGACTTCCATAGACCACAGGCATGGCAGAGGTGGCTGCGCAGAAAGAAAAACATATCCGATCCAGATGAGGCCCTGAGACTCATGAAACACGTAGCCAGTGCTTCAAATCAGCATGACTTTGACAAGGCGGTTGAAGTCCTTGTTGACTCTGAGTACTGGAAAAACGAGATTCCGCAGTTACTTTGAAGAAGTGTGGCTGTCGGTAAAGTAGCTGTGGGTCATGTCTTACAGGCTGGAATTTGACGTTGTGTTGACCACAAATAACGGCATTGAGGCCCAAAACCACGTGTTGAAGGCACAGTACGTGAAAAGTTCCAGCGGGAAACTGTCGTTAACATCCCTGATCATGACTGTCGTTCATGGCTACCTTCCCGACAAAGAAGCGAAATTTCATGAGGCAGCAAGGAGGCAGTCATAAGCGTACAGACAGTACAGTGAAAATGTTCCTGCATACCTGCACAACCGGCCTCATGGGTTCGTTAAGCATATGCTGAGACGGCTCGTTAACGCAGAGGTATACATCCCCACAGACATGGAAGAGCTCCCCGTTGAAAGTGTGTTTACGGTTCATTCTGAAAGAAGTGATGATGATCTGTACACTGTCTACTTCACCAAGCCATCGTGTACCTGCCCTGATTTCAGGAAGCACAAGTACCCATGCAAGCACTTTTGTGTTGTTTTTAGGTACAGTGACAGGTGGGGCTTTTCCTCTCTTCCGCAGAGTTACCTCAATCGACCACAAATTACTCGTGGAAGCTGTCCAGAATCCGAAACAAGTTCCGAGACTCCCCTTGTCAATCAGCCCAGCCCTTCTGAAGTGTCTTCACAGGATCTTGGTACAGCAGCATCAGAGTCAGACATTCCCTTTGTCAATGAGACCAGCTTTTGTGAAGTGTCTTTACAGCCTGGGGTTGCTATGCTTCCTGGGACAGCAACCCCCTCAGTGTCGGAGCTACACAAAAGTATAACCGAGGAATTGGAAAAGTGCAGTTCCCTCCTTTACTGCTGCCATGACATTCAAACACTGGTGGAGGCTAGGGGCTTATTGCAAGCCACCTTCCGTAAGCTGGCTGAATCTGTGCCACAGAGTTCTGGCCTTCACATTCGGGGATCACCGACAAAGGGATGCTCGTCTCTGAATCCTCTTCCGAAAAGAAGACGCCTATAGTGTGCTGTCACTCTGCCATTGACTGGAGCTTTGACTGCTAGGAAAGGATCGGGGGAAACGGTAGAGATGGGCCACTCGGTGATTTTTTTTTCATTTTTTTTTAAATTGCAATTGTTGCAAAACTCAATTTATTTTACCATACATAACTTTGGCCTAAACACAGTGTTCGGAAATATTTGTGAATAATTTTTAGAATGTTTAGAGCTTTTAAGATTAATATGGTATATTTTATACTAGACTTCATTATAGTCATGCAATTGTGACATTGGCAACGAGTGTGTATGTGTATAAATGCAGCCGTAATTTTTTGTGTTGGTGATACTCTCAATTCAGAGAGTGTGTGAAAGTATGTTTTTAGGCTTCTGCTTTCAATTTATGTGTATCAAACTGTTTGTAAAGTTGCATTCTTTCTGTACTTGCTATGGACGAGCTTGCTTTTATACTTTCCTTTTGACATTTTAATTTAGTACCTGTTGTACGTGAAAGAATGTTATTACATTTTTTCGTGTGGTCATTTCAAGATGTATCATAGCGTGCTTGTAATATCCGTAGACTGTAAGTAAATCAAATGTGAGAGAATGCGTAATGTGCACAAAAAGTTTACTGTGAAATTGTGAAGTATGGTTACCTACACAGCAGAGAAATTTCATCGACTGCTGCAACAGCTGTAACCGGTTGATGTAGAGGCTGGGCAAACAAACTGGCCTTTTTTTAGGGCAACTATGGGAACTACCCCCTCAGTGAAACGCTTTAGGTATACATATTGATACTGCAGAGGAAAGTTTGACATCCACCTAAATGTGGATGTCAAACTTTCCTTTGCAGAATATTACTCCACCTTGGGTGTTTCCCCTAAATCGTGTCCATATTGATACTACTGACTTGGGCGAGCTGCTTAATTATTCAATCTGAAAACTTTTTAAATGGCACCATATGGGAATGGGGATATAAAAATGGGTTGCATAAGGAACACGAATGCACAAGAAACTATTACCGGAAGGTGATCGTCTCAACTTAGCATTTATCAGCTAGTATTTTTGAACTAAAGTCTTTAACATGTACATTTAGTATCGTGAAACTAGAAATAGTCAACGTAGAGCTGCCTAGTTTTTGCCCGTCATGTATCAAAAACATGCAACCTAATGTATGGTGCATACTACATAGCCTTTCCATGCAAAGGAGAGAAGCCTCATGAACCCTCTTCATTGTGCCTTGGAGGTTTGTTCACTTTTTCCGTACACTCCTTCTATCAATCAGCGGTACTTGCATGCTGTAAATGAAATAAAGAATATTTATTTCTGGTGTTTTTGCATGTTAACAGACACACATGTCGGCTTTGATAAGTGCAAAAAAAAAAACAAGCCCATGTTTTTATAGTTCACACCAGGAATGTAGCCATGATTTTCTTTCGCTCGCAACTACTGATGGGGGGAAGGCATGGCAAAAGTCAAAGGTGGAAGAGGAGGTAGAAGAGGTCCCAGCAAAACTGAACATTTCGGTGTGCAGCAACTCCCGGCTATGTGGCTCGTTCAGTCATAATGCTCTTGGGCTTTTCCTAAATGTATTCATTGGCTAGAAATACCCTAAGGGCCCCAAAAGGGGCATATGTATAGGGAAAATGCGTTAAATACAGCGGCCGCAAAGTATGCACCTTACACTGTCTGCACACAATCTTTGAACTGGAAGGCTACTGCATATCTGAATGAGATTGAAACGTTTGCAAGTGCATCACGATGTAACATATTTGGTCTTCTTTTTCTCCTGTGCCTTCTGCTAGTATTCCATTCTAGATATGCATACTTTGGCGGTTCCCTTGACAACTGGAAACGGCACATTGTCCAGAGGGATTCGAGATCCGCAGTGGATCACGGAGAAGATGACATTGGCTGAAAATAAACAAAGAGGATTTAATGAAGGCACCTAGTTTTATGCATGGCAGAGGGCAATATCAAATCTCGTTTTAGTTTTTGTGTAATGGCAGCAAAAAACTTCAAGATGCGCTGCCTCTGGCGAGAAATTCTGGCAGGCTTTCGTCAACCAGAATAATAAATATAATTTTCAATATTATTAATAATTACCCAGACTTTTTTCGTATGGCGTTTAAGTTGCAGCTTACAAGCAGCACCAACACGTTAGTTTGGTTGGGCCTTGGGTTTTTAATACAACACTACAAAAAGCT